TATGCTTATTTCTGTCGGTGAGATGGGTCTTTTGTAAGCAACGAATTGTTGGATCTTCCTTTTTAATCCATTTCATCAAACAATCCATTTTGATGGGTGAATTAAGTCCGTTAACATTAAGTGTTAGTATTGATAGGTATGTGGTGATTCCTGTCATTTAGTTGTCTTAGTTCTTAGAAGGTTTGATTGTGTGTACCTAAAGTTACTCTCTACTTTCTTGCTTTTTCTTTTCCTGTAGTTTGGTGCTACCTGCCCTTTTATGGTTATGTTGGGTTTCACTTTCTGTGTGCAGAATCCCTTGAAGAATCTTTTGTAGTGGTGGCTTTGTGGTCACATATTGTTTTAGTTTCTGCTTATCATGGAAGACTTTTATTCCTCCATCTATTTTGAATGATAGTTTTGCTGGGTAGAGTAACCTGGGGTTGAAGTTATTTTCATTCAGTGCCTGGAAGATCTCTCCCCACGCTCTTCTTGCTTTTTATGTTTCTGTTGAGAAGTCTGCTGTGATTTTGATGGGTTTACCTTTGCATGTTACTTGTTTTTTCTCTCTTACAGCCTTCAATATTCTTTCCCTAGTTTCGAACTTGTTGTTTTAATGATGATATGTCGTAGGGTAGTTCTATTTTGATCTGGTCTGTTTGGTGTCCTGGAGGCCTCTTGCATCTGTATGGGAATATCTTTCTCTAGATTTGGGAAATTTTCCATTATTATTTTGTTGAATATATTATGCATTCCCTTTGCTTGCACCTCTTCTTCTTCGATGCCCATGATTCTCAAGTTTAGTCTTTTTGATGGAGTCGGTGAGTTCTTACATTTTCTTTTCACAGGTCTTGAGTTGTTTAATTAATAGTTCTTCGGTTTTTCCTTTAACTACCGTTTCATCTTCGAGTTATGGGATTCTGTCTTCTGTTTGTTCTATTCTGCTGGAATGGCCTTCCGTTTTGTTTTGCAATTCTGTTTCATTCTTTTTTCTGAGGTTTTCCATATCCTGGGTCGTTTCCTCTTTCATGTTGTCTACTTTTGTCCTGAGTTCATTTATCTCTTTATTAATCGTGTTGTCTGTTTCACTTTGGTGTTTATATAGTGCTTCTATGGTTTCCTTTATTTCTTCTTTTGCTTTTTCAAATTCTCTTTTTTGTTTCTTGGAACTTCTTGAGTGTCTCCTGTACATTTTGGTTAACCATATCCAGTATCATCTCTATGAAATTCTCATTGAGTACCTGTAGTATGTCTTCTTTTATATTATTCTTGTGGGCCTCATTGGGTTCTTTGGCATAGTTTATCTTCATTTTTTTGGCGTCTGGATCTGAGTATCTGTTTTCTTCATTTCCCTCTGGTTCCTGTACTAATTTTTTGCTGTGGGGAAACTGGTTTCCTTGTTTTTTCTGTCTTCCCGTCATTGCCCTCGGTGTTGTTATTGTCCCTGTACTGTGTGTGGTTAAGTATTTTCTGGCTTGTAATAATAGCACTAGTGATATTTAGAATGGATAGGTGAAAGGAGATGGAAAGCAAAGAAATTAAAGGAAAAGGGAAAAAACAAAGAAGTAGAAAAAAAACAAAACAAACAAACAAAAAAAGTTTCAAAGATAAAAACAGGGAGAGACAGTGTACTAATCAACCATAAGCTGAAAAGGCATTAAGGTGACAGAGGATTGAAAATAAAAAATAAAAAGAATAAAAATAAGAATAAAAATAAAAAATAAGTCAATGAAAAAAATATATAAAAAAAATCTCCAAGTTCAAATGCAATAAAGTTTCAGTCTTCATAATTTTGGTGTTCATCCCTCAGCCTCCAATCCTGGAGATGGTGCCTCAGTTGTTGTTCTGTAGTTGTCTCATCAAAGGGGAAAAATAAAATAGAACAAAACCGCAGAAAGCAAAAAAAAGAAAAAAGAAAAAACCCCACAAAGTGTCCCAAATTCAAATGCAACACAGTTCTAGTAAGTTTTTTGGCATGCAGGTGTAGTTCGGTTGTTTTCTCTTCAAAGGTAGGGAAAGAGAAAAAAAAAAAAAGTCTGGAGACAGTTCTGTGAATGGCTATCTGCGGCTGTGGCTAGCCTGCCCACTGCTGTTGGCCTGCTGTAGCTGGAGGCGTTATTTATGCAGATCTCTGGGGTGAGCTTAGCACTCACCTGGCCCTGCAGGCTTTGTTTACTCAGAGTTCTCTTGTGCATGAGCCGCTGCTACAAGCTTTCTCCTTTCCAAGCACACTGGGGGAGGTGACACTGCACCTGCTTTCTCAGGCCTACTTGTTTATTTACAGTTCACCTGGGAAGTGGGTCTTCCCCTCTGCTCCTGTGGAGTTTTCCTCCCACCGCTGCTTTTTTAAGTTTTCCTGTTCCTGGTTGCTGGGCGTGCGTAGCTGCTCCTGCCCTCTCTGGCATCCAGGTCCGGCTTGTTTATTTACAGTTCTTTGAGGGATTCCCCCCTCCCCCTTTGGCGCTCAGGGCTCCTCACCCTCTTTGCAACGTGTCTTTATTGTTCTTACTGCTTATTACTCAGTTTCTCTTTTTTCCCTGGGTGGGGGTTGGTCTGTCCAGGGGGCTATGCTGTTCTGGCTCAGGGTCGTCTGTGGGAGTACTGGGTACCGCTTAGCTCACCTTGTGGTCTGTGTCTTCCCAAGCCATCTCGGAGCGGTAGTCTGGGGGCCTGGGGGCCCTCCTGATTTCTCCATTCAACGTGAAGTGAGATGCTCTGTGCAGGCTGTAGGTCTGGAGGAGTCAAAGTTTTGCCTGTTCTTGGTGGCCTTGCTTGCAATGTGTGTCTCCAGCGTCTCTCCAAGATTTCATTTTAGGAGGCATGCTTTCTGCTTCCTCCCTCTAGCCACCATCTTGGAATCCCCCTGGTTCAAGTTCTTTATCATATATGTGGTTTGCAAGTCTGTGACATGTCTTTTTCTAGAATAAAAGTTGTTAATTTTAAAGATGTCCAATTTATAAAATGTGATTTTGGTTTTGTTTCTAAGAAAATACATCTTTTAGAAATTACATTTGGGCATTTTGGACATTTGATTTAATTATGTTTGTAAATAGTATGTATATATTGAACTTTTTTTTTCTTTTTGTCTTTGAATACCCAATTGTCCTAGCATCACTGGTTGAAAGCACTACTTTTTCTTTCATTCTTTGTTTTTTTCTTTTGGTGGTACTGGGGTTTGAACTCATTGCCTTATGCTTGCTAGGCAGGTAGGTGCTATATCACTTGAGCCACTCTGCCAGCCTTTTGCACGTGAGTGCATATATGTGTATGTTGTGGTTTTTTGCTATAGGGTCTCAGGAATGATTTACCTTGAACTGCATTCCTCCTAATCTCTGCCTCCCAAGTAGCTAGGATTACAGGTGTGAAACACCAGCACCTGGCAAGACTACCTTTTCTGTACTGAAATGCTTTTGAACCTTTCTTGAAAATCAATTGATCCTATCTGTTTGTGTATCTGTCTGTATCTATCATCTGTCTGGTATAGATCTATTTCTGGATGCTATTCTCTTTCACTGATTTCTTTGCTCTCTTTATACCAATACTATGCATACTGTCTTGAGTACTATAGTTTTGTAATCTTGTAAACAGGTAGTTTTAGTCCTCTTAACTTTTTTATTTTTTTCAAAGTTGTTTTAGTTATTTGTGCTTAACTGCTTGTCAATTATTAGAAAAAAGTCTGCTGGGAAATGGATTGAGATTAAAATACATTGGTAGTTTTAGAAGAATTGACATCTTAACAACATTGAATCTTCTCATCCATGAACATGGCAGGTCTTCTGTTTATTTAGATTTTTTTAAAGTTTGTTAGTGTATTGCAGTTTTGTGGGCTATGCATAAATTATACCACGTGTATTATTTAGGGTATTTACTTGTTTTTATCTTACCGTTATTTTTCTGAAATTCATCTTGATGCATGTATCAATGCTTAATTCATTTTCATTGCTATATACCATCCCATTATATGAACATGCCATAGCTTATTCTTTTATTGGTGAGCATTTACGTTAATCATTTTTGTTTGTTTTGCTATTGCAGATAATGCAGCTGTGGATATTTGTGTACATATGAGCTAGTACATAGGCTACAAGGGCAGTAAGATGTACCATTGTAGATTTTACTGGTCATTGCTAAGGTGTTTGCAGGTTTATACTGCTCCCAGTACTTTTTCTTTTTTGACTTTTGAAACAGGGTTTTGCTGTGCAGTCCAGGCTGACCTCAAACTTAGGATCCTCCTACCTCAACCTCTTGAGTGCTCTTGTGCCACCATACCCAGCTTTATTCTCAGGTTTTTTGTTTGTTTTGAGGTGTGTGTCAGGGGGAGTGCAATATTGGGGATTGAACCCAGAGTCCCATGCTTGCTAGGCAAGTGTTTTGCCACTTGAGCTACACTTCCAGCCCCATCAGTGTTTTTAAATAAGAGTTTCTGGCCAAGGATGAATGGCATGTGCCTATGGTCTCAGCTGCTTGGAGGCTGAGGCAGGAGGACTGTTTTAGTCCAGGAGTTCAAGGTCAGTCTGGGCAATAGCAAAGCTCTGAGTCAAAAAAAAAAAAAAAGAAGCTTCTGTGTCTACCTATTCTTACCAGTTGGGGCTGTTAGACTTAATTTTTTGCTAAAGTGGTGTGGGTAAAACAGAATCTCACTGTGGTTTTAGTTTCAATACTAGATGTGTCTTTTTTTAGTTATATGTGTTACAAATATCCCAGTTCTTGACTTAGCTTCTCATGTTCTTTTGGTGTTTTTTGATACACATAAATTGTGAGGCACCTCTGCTGTACTGAGGAGTATACTCAGTTTTTTAAAGCATAGTTCACCTAACTTACATGTAACACCTATCACCCTAAATCCTTAGAAGCCTTAGTTACAGGTCCATTTTATAATTTTCCTTTCCAAATCTTCATGAATGACTTACTTATCACAGTTTTTGGGTATGGAGGTGGAGGGGAGAACTACCCTTGCTTTAACGATTCTGTGTTAAGTTACTCAAACATATTTTGAAACTTTTTCTTAAATTATCTTTTAGGCTGGACCAGAATATGGCCAAGGAATGAACCCCATTAGCCGGCTGGCTCAAATTCAACAAGCCAAAAAAGAAAAGGAGCCAGATTATGTTTTGCTTTCAGAAAGAGGAATGCCTCGGCGCCGAGAATTTGTGATGCAGGTATTTCTAAGCTTTATGTTAAAAGTTTCTAAAACTATTGAAAAGATTTGTAAATTCACAGGATGGAATAATGATGTGGGGGAAAGACTGACTAGACCTTAATGGAAATTGAAACTGTATTTTCACTTTCAAGCATTCATTCTCTCCAGTGTCACCTATCAATGTGGTGGAAACATAGGAGTGTCAAGGACAGGTTAGAATAGACAAAACAAATTTTGGAAGGGCCTGTGAGTTCACCCAGGTTATTTACCACAGAGTTTATCGTTTATTGACTGTCTCTGTATTTTACCCGTTACATTTGTAGCCAGACTCTATTAACTACTGGGAATTGGAGATAAATGGAATTCAAAACAAAATTAGAGGGATGGATAGAGTAGATGGAACGGGGCCAAGAGCATGAGCTTGTGGACTTTCGGGGAAATTGTACAAAGACAGCCTGGGCTTGCTTACTAACCATGGGGGGCCTGAATGGAATCAGCATTGCTGAGAGAACTGCCAAGAAAATGGAAAGATGTTTACTAGTGTATTGGCAGATGATGGGAGATAGGAGTGAGGTAAAATAACCTCCTTTTCAAGTCCTGCCAGTCATCTTCCTTTGCCAATTCAAGCCACAGTCTTAAAGAAATCTTGGTTTTAATTTTTTATTAAGAAACATATCCAAAGGTGATGAGAGAGTAATATAATAGGACCTCCAAAGTACCCACCACCCCAAACACACCAGTTAAGAATTTTGCCACACTAGATTCAGCTCTTGACTTTTTTCCTCCCTTCTTTTCTATCTCTCTCCCTTCTTTTCCTGAAGTATTTCTAAGTTAATTTCAGACTGTGAGTTGTTTCAGCCTGATATATTTAGTGTGTATATTGCTAAAAAATATGGAAAGTTTTTCTTACATTAGACATGATTCACCAGAATAATCTATTATCCAGTCTATACTTAAATTCTGTTTATTCTCCCAAACTCTTTTTTTAAAATAATCTCTTTGTTAAAGAAACTTTATAGTCAAACCCAAGGATTTCACCTTTCATATAATCCATACAAAATCAACAGATATTTATTAAGTACTGGCTGTATGGCATTTTGGCATTCAGATATCCTGTCTCATATTTATTAATTTTTCATGCATTTCTAGGTTTTGCTTTCTCTCCCAATTTGTAATCTCTATATTTCTTTACCTCACAGTACCTATAGTCATCTATAAATAGTAAGACCTTCATAAATATTTGACATGTATTTGTTGGCTTCCTCTTAACTGAGCAGGTTTTTGTTGGAAATGCAAACTTATGATGTAGTCACAGATAAACCACTGCTAAGAGCTCAGATGTCTGAAAGGAGGAATTTTTCCGTACTTAGTAAACACATTATGATGTAGTATCATTAGGATCCAGAACAGTATTCTAGTATTTTCACTTGGTAGAATATATTAAATATTTTTTCTCTGACATTCCTAGCCATTGAGAATTCTAGGATATATTCTTTGAATTCCAAAGTTTGAAAAAAATCACCAAAATTTTACACATGTATTAGGAATGTAATTTATCTTGGCTGTATTGAACACTTCCTTTCCTATGGAGTGTATTGAAAACCCTGTTTGAAAGAAGAATTTAGAGTATCTTAGGCCAGCTTCCATTTTATGGCTGTTCGTAAACATTGTAGTCATATGGGGATGTTTGGTTGTGCTTTTAAATGTTTTTGCACTGAATTTATACTATTTTTCCCCCTTCTGAAAGCCCTGGTGGATTCATTATAATATTGTAGCAACTTTTGTCAAAGTAAAGGCTTTTGTATGAACTCCTTAAGCAGTGTTATCAGATGTTATAACTGATTGTACAAGCAAAATATTTAGAGATAATATGCTTGCTTTAATCTGTCACCAATAAAAAAGAAGTGAGTTTGTATGTTATAAAATGAATGCAGTTACTTGTGTTGATTGCTAGATAAACAAAAAAAATTTTTGATGACGTTATTTGGGTAGTTAGTTCCAAAGCAAGTTTCTTAAAGCTTTTTATTTACTTTGGAGTGAATGTTTTAACTTTTTAAGAAGAAAATAATGATAACAAAACTAAGGCTGATGGAGTGGCTCAAGCAGAAAGAGTGCCTGACTAGCAAGCATGAGGCCCTGAGTGCCACAACAACAAAAAAAACTTAGATAACAAAACTATATTGCATGTAAGCATACTATATTATTATATATCCTATAACACTAACTTTTCTACCTATGATTAAGATCCCCAAATTGTTTAAAATACGTAAAACAAGTTTTGTCAATTTTATTTGTGTCTTAGGGGAAGATGATTATGTTTTTAGGAAATTTTATTGCAGAGCTCATTTTTTTGCTTAGCTTTTTGAGGACTTGATTCTGTGAATGATGTGTTTCATTTAAAGACAAATCTGTCCATCTTAAATCTACTGCATAATAAAATAATTGAACTTCTTTCCTGGTAGAAATTAACTTTTTCAATATAAATATTTATAATATTTGCATAATTTGTGAACTTTCTGGGAAGATGACCTATGAAACTTCCTTCTGTCCTTCCTAGATTTTTATAATGAAGTAATATATTGAATGACCATTGTGTTTGTTGGCAAAGAATGAAAATCCTTTGGCACTGTACTCTTTTCAATACTAGCAAATTACTGTGGGATAACTACACACTACTGAACGGTGCACTTATAAAAACTTGCACGGGGTAGGGGTAGGTGTGGGGGTAGGAGAATGATTGTGGGAGGCACCTGTTCTGGAGGAAGTAAGTCTGGAAAATAGCAGACTAGGTCAGGCAAGAATCCGGCAGACCTAGATAATAACACAATGAATGCAGAGATGGGAACAACATTGTAGCTGAGAAGTCCAAGAGCAGGAGCCTAGGGCCAAAGGACATCAGGCCCAAATAGATAAATGAGACTTAGGGATGAAGCAGCAGAAAAATTGGCTTCATTCATTGAATGAGGTATGTACAGCAGATGAAAACTTTTGTAGTTTTCACTACTTTGTGATCTGCTTCTATCTACATTGGCAATTTGATCCTCAGAGCAGGAGAGAAAGCTTCTGACCCAGCTGAGCTAATCTTACCACTAACAGTCATTCCAGCAACAATATAGTGGCTGGTGAAAGCTGAGGAACAGAGAACTGGAGAAAATGACAGGTAGCAGAGGTGACTCGAGCCAGGGATTCAAGCACATTTTCCTTCAGATTTGTGGTGTTGAGGTCAGATCAGGCTTGTAGTGTTGATAGGGAAGGTAGTATGAGTTCACCTAGCTCTGGGGATTTGCCAAGACCAGTGCCTCTCAGAATGAGGTTTAATTTGTCATAATGTCTTGGTTTCTGGCTTTAGAAGAAAAAGGAATGACATGTTTCAAAGACTTTTCACAGATTTGAACTATATGATTTGCGATGGTTGTTACAGGAATTCTGTAATGAATACATTTTCAGTGTTTAGTATGCTACAAAAACTGTCATTGAGTTTTTCTTGACTAAAATTCTGTTAAGAGAATTTATTTCTTTGTGATTATCTCTTGCATGTTTAGGTTTCTATTTTGGTATTATTGTATTGTGTATCCCCAATTCCTTAAGAGTGATTGGTTCATTGAAGTTTAAAAGTAGTGATGGAAGCTGGGCATGGTGGCCAATGCTTGTAATCCTAGTTATTTGGGAAACTCAGATCAGGAGGATCAAAGTTCTGGGCCAGCCTGGTAAAAAAAAATTTTCAAGATTCCATTACAACCAAAAGGGCTGGGCATGGTGGTACATCCCAGCTATAGCGTAAACTCGGAGGATGAAGGTTCAGGCCAGCCAGGGCAAAAAGAGACCCTATCTATCTCCAAAATAACCAGAGCAAAAAGAGCTGGAGGTGTGGCTTAAGCAGTAGAGTGCCTGCCTAGCTAGCGTGAAGCCCTGAGTTCAGACTCCAGTATGGCCAGGAAAAAAATAGTGCTGAAAATAGTAACACAGAAGAGTAGCCAACAGCACTCAAGTGTGAATACCGGATCTGAATCTGGATGTTCTGGGACAGTGACACAGCCATTGTTACGATTTCACACAACAGCCAGAAAGGAAAGTACAACTACACACATCATGCTATATATCTGAAAACTGGGTTTGGTGTATCACTTATGCATTCACTGCAATATCCCATGTATTGTCTCTCTGCGATTGTGTTAAAGTATCATGAATCTACTGAGGCTTCCTAGTTTTCTACAAATAGAGAGCAGTATAACTTTTCAAATATGGATTGCCTGGGCTAGTGAAGTGGCTCAAGTGGTAGAGCATGTGCCTAGCAAAATTTACATTCAGCATGAGTTCAAACCCCAGTACTGGCAAAAAAAAAAATCACCTGAAGTATGGGTTGCCTGTTCAGCTCTCTTGCTTATTTTAATAGTGACTTTAAAGAAAATAAACTTATGCTGTATGTTACAGATGTGAGTCTTTCATAGTCATGTGGCATTTTGAATATCTTTCCTTGGGTTGTGACTCTGTTTTCCTTTTTTAGTGGTGTATTTTAAGGAACAGAAGTAATTCTGTGCATTTAAATTTCTCTGTCTTTTCTTTTACATTAATATTATTATAAGTCTAGACATCCAGACAAATAAATGTCCCTACCTTGTTCTTCCTCTGTAAGGGATTTGCCTATTCGTAGCACTTTGTGTTACTATGTAAATTTTTTGTTTTATTTTTATCTCAGTATGTAGCCCAAGTTGGCCTTGAACTCACTGTGTAGCCCAGGCTGGCATCTAACTCACAATCCTCCCTCCTTTGCTTCTGTTGGGATTGCAGGTGTGAACCACCACACCCAGGTCTGTGTAAATTTTGGGATCAGCCTATCAAGTATTATAAAAATATAAGTGGTATTTGAGTTGGAATAATTGAATTTATAGGTCAATTTGAAGAGAGATGGTACTATTTTACTACTACTGTCTTCAATCTATGAATATAGCATATCATTCATTATTAGGATTCATTATTAGGATTTTCTTAATTTTCTCATTAACGTTTATTGTTTTCTGTGTGGAGGCCTTAAATATCCTAGGTATTTGATTTATATTTGGTATAAATGTTATCTTTTAATTTTCTACTTGAATGTTAATGAAGTATAGAAGTGCAGTTGTCTTTTTGTATGCTGACCTTTTTATACAGAGAACTTGTTATAGTCTCATTAAATTTTTATAATTTATCTGTAGATTTTCTTGGATTTTCTATATATAAATATGTCTGTGAATGATGACAGTTTTCTTTCATGTCCGATTCTTACACATTTTCTTTTCTTTTTTTTTTTTCTATTCAGGACTTGTAGTAAGATGTTAAAACTAGAAATACTAGAGGACATGCTTTTCTTGTTTCTAATCTCAAAGTTTCAACATAAAGTATAATTGTTGTAGGTTTTTTGAAAAATGTCCCTTATATTTAGGAAGTTTCCTTCTTTTCCTAGTTTGGTAATAACTTTTATTCTTAACAAATGTTGAATTTTATTAAACGTTTTTGTTCCATTTATTAGGATGGTTTCATGGTTTATCTCTTCAACCTACTAATATAGTACATTCTATTGATTAATTTTGTCAACCTTCAAATGTCAAACTAACCTTGCATTTCTGGATTAAACCCAATTTTGTCATGATTCTTCTTTTTTATATATTGTTTCATTCATTATACATTCATTGTAAAACTTTAGTGTCTATGTTCATTGTGAAAACATTTTGTGAATTTTCTTACACTGAAAAATCTTACACTGATTTGCTGGGTTTTGGAATCAAAGTGATGACTCTTAAAACAATTGGTTCCTTTTTTTACAATTTTGAATGAATTTGTGTAAGATTAGCATAATTCTTAAGTATTGGGCAGCATTTGTGAAAGAAACTTAGGAATTTCTTTATTTAAAAAAATTATTTCTTCAGTGGTTATAGTCCTATTTATTCATAGACTTATTCTGTGGTAATTTTGGTAATATTATTTGGGAATTTTTCCATTTTATTTAAATTTTTAATCAGCATAAAATTTTCCTCAATATTTATCCTGTCAGAGAATCTCCCCCTTTTCATTTTTTTTTAATTTCTTTTTCCTTTATTGTGATGGGTGAGGGTACATTGTGGCATTTACAAAGGTTCTTACAATGTATCAACTGTATCTTCTCTTTTTGTTTCTCCTTTGTGTGCTGGGGATTGAACTCAGGGCCTTGCAAGTCCTCTTCCACTGAACTATGTCCCAGTTTATTTTTTTTCCCTGATAGTCTTACCTTTGGTTTATCATTTTATTAACTTTCTCAAGGAACCAACTTTCAGCTCTTTCAACTTCTCTGTTGTATTTTGTTTTTCATTTCCGTGATTTTTATTACTGTGTTTAAAACTACTTGAGATTGATGTTAAGTTATTTTCTGCCTTTCTATATGCTGTTATGATTATACATTTTATTCTAGATCCTCCTTTAGCTGTATCCTTCAAGTTTTTATATATTTCATTATTTATTTCAAATATTTTCTTTTGGGGAGATAGTATTAGGGTGGAACTCAAAGCCTTGTGGTTGCTAGGTAAGTAACCATTTGAGCCATGTTCCCAGCTTACATTTAAATATTTTCTAATATCCATTGGGTTTTCCTCTTTTATCTGTGGATTGTTTGTAATTACATTGTTTAATTTCCATAGTTGTGATTAACTCTTTGTCTCTTTCTTATTGAGATTACTTGTGTATAAACAAATACTCCATAGTTGTATATTTTCTGTATCTCTGTAAATTTCTTCTTGTAATTCTTTTTTTCTGCTTTCTAATTTTAATTCATGCTTTTGTATTATCTCTTAGCACATGCATTTCTAAAACAGCATTACTCAACTCAGGAAATGTACATGTGGATTTAACATGGTTATTGTATATACTTAAATCTATGTGGGTGTATATACATACATATGTAATAATATATACACATGTATGTTTAAATTGCTCACAAAAGATAATAAAAAGTCTTACTGTTTATTGAGTAATTGTGATTGACTAAACACTATGGCTTATACAGATTATCTTGTTTAATTTTTAAGGCAATACTACAAAGTAGTTGATATTACTCCTGCTAAGCTGATGAAGAACTTGAGATTTAGGGATGTTCAATAATTTACACCAGCTCATCATACATCTCAGAAATAGTAGAGTTGCATTTCATACTCCAGTCTGACTTGGAAGCTTTTGTTCTTAGCCACAATTTATACTATCCCTGTATACTAATTCTCTTGAAGAACTATTTAATATAAACCTTTATAAACTTAGGGTACAATGTAAACATTAGTTTAAATGGCACCAATATGAATTCCAACCTTTTCAGTTCATTAATTGAAATAAAGAGTACTAAATGTAGTCATAACCAGCATGAACTCAATTTAATATGTAAATTTTATTTTTCTGCTTATATGAATAATACAAGTTTAATGTTTAAAAAGGTCAAATACATAAATGCAGGAAGTAAAAAGTCCTCTAAGAGTCTGCTATTCTGATAAAACCAACCATTGAGATTTTGAGGACTATTTTTCCATATTTTTTCCATATACACTTTCATATGTCACATCACATGATGGGATTTTATCTTCCTGTTTTATTTTGGACTGAATCTTATATATTTGAGTGCTAGAAAATAGGATATATAGTTTTATAATGTGAGAACTTCCTGTTTACCAAAACAACTATCATTACTTTCTTTTTTAAATTTGATCAGGTCAAGGTAGGCAATGAAGTTGCTACTGGAACAGGACCTAATAAAAAGATAGCCAAAAAAAATGCTGCAGAAGCAATGCTGTTACAACTTGGTTATAAAGCATCCGCTAGTCTTCAGGATCAACTTGACAAGGTAAGAATTAAGTTTACATGGATGTGTGCTTTCTGTCACAGTGTTAAGGAAATTAATAAGTTCTGATTTTAACTGATGTTTAAACTAGACATTTTAACTTTTTTGAGGTAGTGCTCTATCTTCATATAAGGTAGATATTACAGGTATAAAATATCTACTTAATGGGTAAGATAAAATATTAGTGAGTAATTATCATTTTAGGATTAGCAAATACTAAAATTTTTTTGGTCGTATATATTGTATACAATACAAATTTAATATTTTTTCAACTTATTGGCCAGTTTTTTTGCTACTAATTATTTTCCTCTTTAAAAATAGTCCTGATTTGTGGTTAAAAAATTTAAAAAGAACAGAAGCTGTTAGTCTTTATTTTTGGAATATAGCTAAAAATGCTGGAAATAAAAATTCTGACTTACCCTTTTAGGTCAGGAACTATACTAGACTGACAGTCTATTAAATTCAATTTTTTCTTTTTACTTTAAATCTGAAGGTAAACTCAGTGGGTATTTGTTTCTTGCCAAGGCCTGTGTTCATGGCCCCCTGTTTCTTCTGCAGCAGCTAGTGACATCATTAACACCTACCTCTGTTTCAAGAGAAGCAAAGAACCCTGAACTCGGGGCTTGGCAGACAATTTGGCAAGAATTGGGTTCATTTTATTTTGTATTGTTATTCTGTTTTTTATGCATATGTAGAAATTATTTCTAAAAACTAACAATAAAACAGTCTTAATAACTTTTGTAAAAAGCAATATGCTTTTGACCAGGCCCTTCTCACATAAGGATTCTGTTTCAGAGATATCTTTAGTTTCTACAGGATCACATTCCTGAAGTTTGGAGTAAGAAACATTTAGCTATACATTTTTAAGGCAGCCATGATTCTTTTGAATGATTAAAAAATCATTTGTCTTTGTGGTATTGCTAGAGATTTCAATTTTGTTTTTATAACCTGGCTAGTCTACACGTTTTCTTCTTTTAAAGTATTTGTAACTTGAAACCTAACATATGTTCAAGTTTCTGTAGATCTTATATTTTGTATATGTTTTAACTTAACACATTTATATTGACTTAAAAACTGTTGAGTGATTTATAAAAATATGTCAGAATAAATCTCTTCATTGACACTTATTTGAAAGTTAAGTGAAAGAAAACAAAACAAAAAACAGCATTAATTTGAAAAATATTTTTTTGCATACCCACTATATTAATGAGGATTCTCCAGAGAAGTAGAATCAACAGGGGGCAGACACACAGACAGAGAGACACACTCACACATACATACACACACATACACTTTATTATTTTAAAGCATTAGCCTGTGTGGTTGTGAAGGCTTGCCTAGTCCACAGTCTGGTGGGGAAGCCTGACAGGCTGGAGAATTAAGAAAGCAGAGTTTAAGGATTCCAGTCCAAGGACAGTCTGCTGGAGAATTCTCTTGTGCTCAAGGAGGTCAGCCTTGTGTTCTCTTCAGACCTTCAACTGATTGATGAGGCCTACCCATATAGTGAAGGGTAGTGCTTTACCTAAAGTCTACCAAGTTAAATATAAGTCTCATCAAAAAATCCAGGATAATGTTGACCAAATACCTGTGTGTGTGGCCCAGACAACTTGACCCATAAAATTAATCATCACATCCACTAAATGCCAGACACTTATAACTGAAGATAACAAGATGACTAAAACTTTACTCTCAAGGAACTCAGCCATTAGGTGTTGGGAGTGAGGGATTTTGATCATATCACAAAACTCATGGTATCCTGGAACCATGGAGCATAAGGATCAATCTGAATATTTAGAAAAAGATGAGTTCACTGTTTTTATGCAAAGTAAAAATCTTGAAGAATCATTCATTTAGGTGAAATGATCTAGTTTGCATTTTCCAAAAGATAATTGTGTAAGTAATATGGTAATGGATTTTGAACAGTGAGAGAGAAGGCAGGAAGCCAGTCAGCTGGCAAGCCGTTGTCCAGGTAGAAGATACAGAATGTTTGAACTATGAAAGTGGTGGCAGAGATAAGGAGAGAAAGAGCTCTCAAGATATTTCCTAAGTGCAATTGGGAAGGTATGAGTGGTAGAGAACACGGATTGGAGATACAGGAAGAAGGGGACGGGAAGAACATGTGAAAAAGTGGAAGGCAGAATGACTTTCAAGTCCTCAGTGGTAGTCATATGTCTGGAGAGGCCAAATGAGAGAAGACTAAGTGGAAACGTTGATTTGTCAATAAGAAGATCTTTGGTAAGTGGGGCAAAAGCAATTTTCAAACCTCCCATAGCTCAGTAGTACAGCTCTTGCCTACGAAGCCCTGGGTTCAATCCCCAGCACCGCTCCAAAACAAAAAACAAAACAAGAAAAAAACCAATAAAAGTCAATTTCCATATTCAAGCTACACAGGAAGCATAAGGAGGAGGATCAAAGTCGAGGTCCGCCTTTGCAAAAACACGACCAGAGCCAAAAAATAAAAAAGAAAGTTGGGGGCATGGTTCAAGTGGTAGAGCACCTGCCTAGCAAGTGTGTGACGCCAATACCTCAAGAAAAAAAAAATTGTGGTACTTTGTTATGGCAGTCTTAAGAAATTAATGCACACTACCCATCTCTGACCCTTGCTTAATTGATTAGTCAGCTGTTTTTTGAATAAGCCTGTTTCTCTATATTTATACAGTTGATTTACTCTTTCAGACAGGGGAGAACAAAGGATGGAGTGGTCCAAAGGCTGGGTTTCCTGAACCAACAAATAACAGTAAGTTCTCATTTTTATGTTTTCTGTACTTGGTGTTCATCAATGATACTGACTGGGTCTGTCTGGGCCCTAGATGTTGTGTTAAGTATTGTGGAGGGTGTAGGGGAATCTTAGTGTTTGCTCTCCTGAAACCTACAGAATAAATGAAAAACTAAGACATAGAGTCTTCTAGCCTTCAAATGGGCTTTACCACAGAGCACTTGCATAGCATGCACAAGGTCTTGGTTTTGATCCCCAGCACTGCAAAAAGAAAAAAGAAAAAAACAAAACATGCCAGGCACCCGTGGCTTATGTTTATAATTCTAGCTACTCAGGAGGCAGAGATCAGGAGGATCACAGTTCGAAGCCAGCCGGGGCAAATAGTTCACAAGACCCTATCTTGAAAAAACTCATCACAAAAAAGGGCTGGTGGAATGATTCAAGGTGAAAGCCCTGAGTTCAAGCCCCAGTACGAAACAAAGCAAAACAAACAAAAAAAGCACAAAAAAATCGTTAAGTCATTGCAGATTGAGCTCCATTTCAAGCACATGGTGATACCTTTTTTTTTTTTTTTTTTTTTTTTTGTGGTACTGGGGTTTGAACTCAGGGCCTTGAGCCACTTCGCCAACCCTTTTTGTGTGAAGGGTCTTTTCGAGTTAGGGTCCCACAGAACTGTTTGCCCCAGTTGGTTTTAAACTACGATCCTCCTGACCTCTGCCTCCTAAGTAGCTAGGATTACAGGCGTGAGCCACCGGTACTTGTGTGATAACATTTTTAAGGCTGTTGTTTTCATTGAAATAATAGTCTTAAAATAGAAAAGAAGCAGTTATCTTCAAGTCAGTTAGTTCTCAGAACTGTTTTTACAGTTCTAATTTTTATGTATACACAAATGTTTATATATATCAATAAATTTTTATTCTGTTTTCATTTAACATTGCCATAAGCATTTTTCACATTTTGTTATCATTAGAATTTTAAATAAATCATTAAAGTCACTAAGTCTATGTCAGAAATGTAAGTATAAAATTGCTCACAGTCTTGTCCTACTTGTAGTATTGCCAGACACTTAAAAAAAATCAACTTCCGTTTAACTCTTTTTTTCAAATGTTACATGATCAAGATGTTTTTTGCATTGGATGCATAGACATTCTTCTTCAACAACCCCTCCTCCTGTAGTGGATCTATTTTCTCTGAGGTAACCATTTTACTGTGAGTTAATGAATCAAAATATTTGGCCTGTGAAAATACTCAATCTTAACTCATTTCTAACTCTGTCTTTTCCTTAAAACCTGTGGACACAGGAAAAGCTCAGGTCTGCAGATTGTCACGATGAAGTCTTTAGTCTTTGACATTGGCAGCTCCTCTCTTGATGTATGCATAATGACGTTAGGAACAATTCTTACCAAAGAATGCTCATAAAAATTAAATTCTTGAATCACCAGATTAACCTTGAGAAGAATATTTCAGTGAGGCAATACTATTCTTGGGTTACTTTCTGGGAATAATTTAAATCAGTGTGCCTGTGAGCCCTTGGGCTGTACATACAGGGGTGATGAATGTGTTGTGCTGAACACATAGCCCAAGGAAAAATTGGAAATCAGTTGAGGATTCTTAGAGTTTGTGCTTAATTCCTTTGATGTTTGAGTCTATTGGTTTATAATTATGTGGTAAGGGAATGTAAAAACATTGACTTGATTGCACCTGCTCTTAGTAAGCTTGTAATGAACACTGATTTCTTTCCAGGTCTCCTTGTACTTCTTTTGTAAAAATGATCTAATTCTTTGTGTGTTTGCCAGAAATTACATTCTTACACTTTTTTGTCAGATATATTTGCATGCACACTATGGCCAAAGAATCTAAAATTTATTCTTGAATTGTTACATTTTGGCAATAGTCATTTGTTTTAGAACATGAACATTACATATTTGAAATGAAAGTCAGATATCTATTAACTTGACAGTTTATTTAATTTTTATTTATTTATTTATTTATTTTGGCTGTACTGAGGTTTGAGTTCAGGGCCTTGCACTTGCTAGGCAGGTGCTGTACTCACACCCATTTTTGCTTTAGTTATTTTCCAGATAGGGTCTCCTGCTTTTTACCTAGGGTCAGCTGCCACCATGATCCTCCTACACAGCTGGGATTATAGAAATGAGCTGACATGCCTGGTTGGTTGTTTGAGATAGGGTCTCACTAACTTTTTTTTTGCCTGGGCTGGCCTTGAACTGTAATCCTCTTGTCTCCAACTCCCAAGTACCTGGGATTATCAGTGTGAACCTCTGCACACCTGGCTTTACTTGACAGTTCGAACATGAAATCAGATTGTGGATAACCTGCAAGCTGTATCATTAAACAGTGATGTTTTGGTCCTTAGTGTTATGAACTTGTTGATTTATTTTTTAACTTGCTAAGGGATAAAGGAACTCCTTTGGAAGTATGAGAAGAAATATCACAAAGGCCAATGAGTTTTAGTGATCAAAAATGTCCAAGAATGCTTGGAAGGTATGTTTTAACATAAAGTTAGAATTGATAAAGCTGCAACTTAACTGAACTATTAAAGCTTTCAGAATTCCTCTGGTCTGTAGTGGTTCAAATTGAGAATATGAAATAATGTTGCCTTGCCCTTCCCACCTGCGAGGGGTGAGAAGGCTGACACTAAGTTTCTTCAGTGAACATGGGCAGTACTGCCTCAGGTTACCATTATCTAGGAGGGCAGCCCAGCTCTGAAGGGCTGGTCCTCTCCATCGAAGCTCTAGACCCTCCTACATTAAGGATTGACCACTCAGGTAACGAGTCAATTACCTGAAAATCAACTGTTTTTTCTTTTTGGAGTACTGGAATTTTAACTCAGGCAGGCACTCTACCACTTGAGTCACTCCACCAGCCCCTGAAAATTAATTTAAGCTCATATATTATGGTAACATTTAACTTCTTTTACTTAATCAGTTCCTTAAGTTTAAAATTCCGTTCAAAGTGATTTCTGCCCTGTGGAGAACATCTGTGTTATCCTTTTGTGGGCAAAGGTTTGAGCAGAATTTCTCAGGATGGCACATGTGAAGATGTGAAGAAACGGAGAAATTTGAGGTTGCCAATGCAACTAACATACCATTTTACTAACATATTATCTGACCTCTAACAACACATTTTATATCTTATGTGCTCTTTTAAGAGTTACATTACCAATTTATAATGTTGAGAGTTTACAACTATGTAACATTTGTAAAATGATTATCTTTGTGTAACATACTAAAGGTTACCTGTTTGTGAGAACTTGCCATCATGAGATGGCTTTCTTCATTATATTTTATATTTTATTTTTCAAACTACTTTACTTCAAAAAATTGTAACTTTGAAGATTAAATTTCTGGCTTGGCATTACTTGAATAAATAATACAAAATTAACTTGGAACCATAGTATACAAAAATGAAAAGAAGGGAATACAGAACTGGAAAAAAAGCACCTACCTATAATTAGACAAAAATGTTAATGTACATGTGTATTTGATTTTTAAGATGGAAGATATATTTTTTTAAAGATTACAGTCATAAGAAACTAACAATTACAACTGAAAAATAGTTTAAATGGTTTTGCAAGTGATTATGACTACATAGCCTGGTTCCTCCATTTATTTTCCTGGCTTGATTGCCTGCAGTTTGAAAATATGGACCTAATTTTTTTATGTTTCCCAAGCTTTCTTCATTGCACTGAAATGCACCATGACTATGCTAAGTGTATTTTTACCCTTATCATCACTGTCATAATTATGTTGAGGTACAAGAACATATAACTCTGTAATGTGAAGTTTGTGTTAAATTTAACATAAGGCAATTTTATGCTTGGCATACACATAAAACGCAAGCTTTTTACAGATGACTAACAAACAAGGCTTAAAAAAAGATCATGCATTTGAAAGATCTACTGATGGCTCATGGGAAACTTTAACATACTTAGATGTAGTTCAGTTGATAATATCTTTTTATTGAATTCACATTCCATGTTTCTTATTAATACAGGCTTTTACTTAAAAACAGGTTCATTGTTTCTTAAAGGTGAACTCTAGCTTAATTCAAAATTGGACTAAGTTCAAAGGTATCCACTGGCATGTGCTGAATCCACCCACTAAAAGATTATTTGGAGGCATTTTTCACATAAATATTTTTCCGTTAACCTTTTAAAAAGTTTTATTTAGCCCCTGTGAAATATGCTAGTTCTTCTGAGTTCATTAGAGATGACGTGGGACAAATACTTTGGGACAGGAGAGAATGTTAGAGGAGTGTTAAGCTCATATCTATTTTAGTCGTACTGCTTGAGTCTCTTTAAAGGCCCATTCATCTAAAGGAAAAAGAAATTTTAAGTTAGAAAGTCTTTAAACAGATTAGCAAACATAGCATAGTTTTTGAGAAATAGTCACAGGAAAGATTTAATGAATTTAAATTTTCATTTTAAAAACTTGCTTGACATACTTTTGCACATAGAATAATTTCAGATAAATGTTCTTAAACAAAAGAACCCATATGAACAACTTAAGAATACAGTTATTCATTGCAGTAGGACAGAGTTTTTAAGCATAAGAACAAAGGATGAAGCCATAGAGGAAAAAAAGATGGATATAGATACCTAAACACTAGAAGTGGATTCAGAGAACAGCATGAGAAAATAAAAAGGCAGATGACAAATAGAAAGCACAACTTGTAGCATGTATTACAACAGGTTAAATACATACAAAGACACAGGCCAATTTTTTAAAAAGACAAACACTGATAGAAAAATGGCCAGAGGTCTTAGGAAACATTAAAAAAATAATAATTATGAAAATTATTAATTAATAGGAAAATGTAGAGTAAAAATAAGTGTTATACAATTTCTCATTCATAAAAATTGTCAGGGATTTAACAGTGATAAGGCCACCTGTGCGGAAACAGACCCTTGGCTACTGATGATAGGACTGAAAATTAGGACTGCCTTTCTGAAGGAAGTTGGATACACATATAAAACTTGGGTCCATTTTGTCAGAAAGAAG